CAGGAAGGCTGAGGGCAGCAGGCAGGGACTGGGGAGGGAGAGGGTGTTGAATGGAGTCAGGATGGTGAGAAGCCAGCAGGACACATTTCCACTCACTGCAAGCACCTCAGCAGTCCCGCCTGACTGCGGGCACTCCCAGCTGCTCATCTTAGCACAGACTGAGGAACCTAATCTTGAGAATTATCTGGGTTCTGGTGCCACAGGGACAGAGGCCTCCAAAATACAGCAGGACACATCATACAGACTGAGCAGGCAGATGGAGAACTGCCTTAGCTCTGGGGACAAGCAGCAGCTCTGTCATTGCCCAAACGAACCTAAGTATCTGCTCCAAGCCCTGCCTGTCAGGCCCTGAACTGAGAGGGTGCCAGGGCAGATTCCCTCCTTGCCCCATCCATTCCTTATCCCCCCTGCCCTCCAGAGGCCTGCTGGGATGCAGATACCACCGCCTCTTGAGCCAGGGTGTCCCCTACCCTGGCTGCACACCCACCTCTGCTCTATTATGTTGTCTTTGCCCCGGTAGCAGCTGCGAAGGAGGCGCCCAGTGCTGGCATCAAACAAGTGGCTTCGCAGGAAGTCAGCAGCACACGTGGCCCGGCTGACGTACTCCTCCTTGCCAAGGATGGCCCCGCTCTGAGCAAAGCCCGAGATCATCAGCCCTGTGTAGTGAAGAGACACAGAAGCAGAGACTTGCTCAGGCCTAGGGTCAGGGGCCATTCTCTGATCAGAAAGCTTGGTTCACTCTCTACCTACTTCACATGACAGTTATCATCCACAACCTTCCTGCCAGGCTGATGGTGGGACAGGGTCTCATTTACTGTCTCCTGCAATCAGCTTAAGCTACACTATAAGCTGCTTCTCCTTGCAGCGACAGGGGCTGGAAAAAGGCTCCAAAATGCTGGTTATACCCAGAGGGAGAACAGGCTCTCTGCAAAGGCTCTCCCACAGCTACTGCGCACCACAACTGCCCCTCAGGACTCAGGTCCCTGAGGGTCCTGTTTTATGTGGAAGGAACTGCAGCTGAGACACTGAGGTTATCAGCTTGTATGGGATGCTTGGACACATACTAGAGACAGCCCTTAAGCTTGGCCACCCTATGCCACCCTACTGCATCAGTACTGGCCACTGGCTGATCCTAGCCTGGGACTTGAACCCACGACCTTGTGGTGCTGCTCTGCATGGATGCTTGCTTTTACAGTTCCCGTGCAGTAAGGAGCCTCTAAGGATGTGGCACTGAAAACACGGGTAAGGTTCTGCTGCCCCCTGCCGGACGAGGCGGGGACAGGCCCAGGGTGGTCCAGCAAAGACCCTGCTCTTCTCCCAGCCGCACCATGGGCAGGGGGGAGAGTCGCACTGGGAATGAAGAGGACCCCATGGCCAGACCTGCAGGGGAACGGTCTGCCAGGTGCCTTCCCAGGAGGGAAGACTCCCCTCAGCCATGCTCCCTAGGGGCCCCCCACCAGACCCAGGGACCTGGAAAAGAGAGGTTGGAGCCCTCATGGCACCAGCAGCCCACCCAACCAGGAGCAGAAGGGGTTGGGGGTAGACCCTGGGCAGCAGGAGGAAGGTGCAATGGAAACCAGGGGCTGTGCTAAGGGAAAGGCAGAAAATGAGTCTGGGGTTACCTCCTGCCTGCTGTGGGGCTGCCCTGAAGGGAAATCCCATGTGCCAAACCCCCCAGCAGGGCAAAGGAACAAGCAGCCACCCTCCCTGTCCAGAGTTCCCTATCTTGGTATGCCCAGGGGGCTGCCAGCTGCCCTCCAACACCCTCTGCAGCCTCCTATGACACAGGTATGGAGGAGCCAGCAGGCAGCCCCATGCAGAGAATCAAAAGCACTGGAATTAGACTGCGCTGCTCCCTGCTGGCGATGAACCCAGGCCCTGTGTACCTCCCCTCTGGCTCATTTTTCACTACCTAGTGGCTGGGGCAATTAATAACAGCAGCCTTCCAATTACCAGTCTCTCCACAGACCTCAGTGCTTCCTAGGATGGGCTGCCCCCTCCCAGGCACACACTGCAGCAGAGCTAGATTAAAGTAGGGGCAGGCAGGTCCCAGGACAGGGACCCTGCTCTTGGAATCATGTGATAAAAGGCTGAATCCCAACTCCCACTTAAGACCTCTGTATATTCTCAGGCCTCACCCTGGCGGAGGAAAGCCTGACAAGGCCACTCAAGTGTAACAGATGCTGCCTGAGTCTGCAGAAAGCCTGCAACAGTTGGAGGTGGAAGATCCCAGCCCATGTCCAGCATGGGGTAGAACCATAGCACAGGTCACTGCAGGGCAATGGAAGCCCTGTGTCATGGTGGCAAAAGTCACTGAGCCACAGGGAGGATGAAGAGGCCCTGTCTCACCGTTCCAGGATGCCAGCATCTTGGAGTCCAGATGGGGCCGTGGTCGCTGGGCCCGAACCTCTGACAGCCGCTCCCGGCTCTTTGCCAGCATGGCCTTCAGATGGTCCAGCTCCAGACCGAACCTGGCTGCTGTCAGCTCCAGGGAATACTGCACAATCAGGACGTTCTTGCCTTTCAGCTCATTGTATGGGTCCTGCAATGAGAGCCCAGCTACATCACAGCAGTGCCGGGGACATGTGCACTGGTGCATCCAGATACCTAACTTGCTCAATGAAGTCTCGGGGACCCCTGAGAGTCACAACCTGACCTCACCTGCCTTGCCTAGGCTGGGGCATCCTCTGAGGATCTCTAGCTATGCAGTTCCCTCCTGGGACCTACCCAGTCCCACCTCACTCCCTCCCATAACCCCACTGCAGCACTCCCCTCCGGGCTGCTGTATGTCTGACTACCAGAATTCCCCCCGTGGCACCTCCTAGCACCTAGGACAACTGGCTTTTGAATCTTCCCCTCCACTACATCCACTAGTGAGGTCCAGAGTCCAGTGTCCCCCGCAACCCTTCCTTTCCCGAAGCCTCAGGCCAGCGCCCCCAACTCACCTTCATGGGGCTTACATTCCCGCCCTCCTTCACCCCATAGTGATGCATGAAGATGTCTGCCAGCGTCTTCCTTTCTGAGTCCCCCTCCAAAGGGTCCGGAAGGAGGGCCCGGATTTCCTCTGCCGTCCACACGCAGAAAGCCCCTTCCTGCTTCACTTTGGACTTGGCTGTGGGATAGGAATCCGCATCCTCCGCACTGTAGAACCCTCCGGCCTGAAACACCACAGCAGCCCCATGAACAGAGCCCACACAGGGCAGAAATGGCAATGCTCTCCCCCACAGATGCTCTGTGCTCACTAATAATGAATCAACTAGCCAGCAAGAGGTGCTGCTGGGATAAAAAAGAGTGACATATGCAGGAGCTACAAAAAAACCTCCACTCCAGGCACTGCAGGAGAGACAAGGCCTGGGGAAATCTGTCCAGCCACCAGGGGTAGTGTGGGGATGAGACAGAAGGAGAGCACAGGCTAAATCACTGATCCATCCAAGCCAGTAGAGGTAGAGAATATCCAGCGCCTGGGTTTGAGCCCAAAGCAGTCTGCTTCAGGGAGGGCAGAGGATCTGACCATCCTTGGGGCAGTGAGCATTACCCCTGGCAAGCCAGAGTGCCAGCAGCATGAGACTGGGAGGAGAGAGACAAAGACCCCTGAGCTTAGGTGCTGACTTACCCTGTCACTCAAATCCCGGGAGACATAGAGCAGGATGTCGGCGGCAACATCTGCAAAGAATTCATCGCCAGAAATCTGCGTGAGACAAGGAGCATTTTATTTCCAGATCACAAGAAAAGGGGCAGGGTAAGGGGCTCTGCTGTGCTAACTCAGAGCTGAGGAGCAGAGGAGCCAGGAGAGAGGGCTCCAGGACATCAAACCCACAATGGGATCGGAGGGACCTAGTGTTGGGGGAATCTGCTGGCTTCCATGAGTTAGTCAAGATTTATGCCGAGGTCCCCGAGAGCAGAGTACAGTCCAGAACTCATCTCCTTTGAAAGCATTGCTCTTCCTTGCATTTGAAACCTCAAAGTAGCAGCAACTGCTCCCCAGGGCCCCTCTTGCCTCCCAGAGGAGTATCTCAAAGGGACTTGGGCTGGCATAGAGAGGAGCCTGACTGGGAAAGGTGGGGAGTTCTTGTAATCTGCTTCCTGTCCAGAGCCCATGGGGAGCGAGCCCACTGCTCTTAGTGCAGATCCTGGGGGCCAGTGTCTTATCACACCAACACCCATTACTGGGAGTCTCCTGTCAGGAACGGGGCACATAACTATGGTGCTGTGAAGACATCTGTGTGGACAGTGCCTCTGTTGCTCACAGCCCTGTTTGTTAAGTGCCACAGCCCCATTTGAGGTCAGGACCCTTCATTTGGGAACAGCCGTCCTAGAGCCTGCTGTTACTTTTACTTATGCTCTCGTGTAACTAGGAGTTAGACAAGGTCCCCTCATTGCTGTGACAATGAAGTCCCATCCTCATTGCTGCAAACTCTGTCCTCTATGAGCATTTCACCAGTAAGAAGTCAGCTTTTGCCTCCCCACACCTCTGCCCAAGAGTTTCTGCATGAGACATGGACCTGAAATCAGGCTCCACATGAAAGCGGCGTCTGTCACAGCGTCTGCCTCAGTGGCAGAGGACAGCCGGCAAGCCTCCCAAAGAGCTTGCTCAGGCTTGTCCCCTCACCTCAGAAAACACACATGCTCCAGACTCGACTGTCAGGAAAGAGGCCCTGCTCGCCAAGATCAGGTTTCTGCTCATCGGCCAGTTCTTTGGAGCCCTGTCTCAAAGCCCTATGTAATTGCTCGGGGAAAGAGCTAAGTTAGCCATACCTGAAATGCCTTGGCATATGCTGCTGCCAGCTGCCCCTGGTCGTACAGCATCTTCTCAAAGTGAGGAACGTGCCACCTCTGGTCAGTGGAGTAGCGGTGGAATCCCTGCAGAGAGAGAAAGGAAACATGAGTCTCCAATTCAGCCCTGGGTCACTGAGCTGTCCTGGTGATTTTGTCTTTGGAGCTAGCTTGTCAAAGGAGAGTGCTTCAAGACACCTAAGCATGGTCCTCCCAAAAAACTGCATTGCTGAGGACCATCTGACACCCCATGCCTCTTACCTGGGCAATGTGATCATGAATCCCACCATAGGCCATCATCTTGAGGGTGTGCAGAGCCATCTGCAAGGCCCGTGCACCATCAGGAGAGGTCCGGTGCAGGGCCCAGTACGTGAAGAGGAAGTTCAAATTGACTGGAATACAACAACAAAAGCGAGTGCTTGGGGTCAGGTCTGTGCCCAGCGATGATCCCTGCTCTTGGGACGTCTCTGTTAGAAGGTAACGCGCTGACCTGGCGTGGGGAACTTGGGAAACTCTGAAAAGCCGCCATACTCCTCGTCGTACGACTCGGACAGCTGCTGGAAGCATCGGGTCATCACCTCAGATGAAGGTGGGGGCGACTCCTCACCCCTGATGCCAACCTCAGCCCTTGTGAGCAGTGCATCTGTGATCCTCTGGCTGCTCTCCAAAAGGGCCTCTTGGTTTCGCTTCCACTAGGCGGAAGAGCAGGGAAGAGGTCAGTCCTGCCCCACCTGCTGCTCTTGGCCTCCCTGTGCTCTTCATGACCCTGGATCTACCAAAGGCCTCCCTCCCCATACAAATTCTCTTCTGTTCTTCAGACCTTCCAGAGCTCTGAGCCTATTCCTTTATGCTGGCCCCACAGCAGGTGAACTCTCTCACTACCTGGCCTCAACATCCTGCATTTAACTCGCTTGCCCCCTCAACCCAGCCCAAATGTCCCCATTTCCCGAGTCCCCAAATCCGCCTCTGCCCAGTAGCCCTCCCAACCCAACAGCCGGCGTTAATACCGACAGCCCATCTGACTTCCCTGCCCTGGATCTCTGCTGTGTTTCCAATGAGAACCCCAAAACCTACCACTGAAGCTCAAACAGAAAACTACACACCTGATCAACAATTCGCAGCAGCACTGTCTTAAAGCCGACTCGGTAAATTCCATCTCCAGGGGGAAAATACGTCCCGCCTACAAAGGGTTTGAGGTCGGGAGTCAGCCACACGCTCATCGGCCAGCCCCCTCCACTGCTGGTTGCCTGAAAGAGAAGTCAGAGATGAGCTATCATCTCTACTGCCCCAGGAGACCCTGTGTGTTCACCTGTGCCTGGAAGAGTGGTTCTCCACAGCTTCTTATCCACCGTACCCCCCTTTTCTCATCATCACCCTCCTTACCTGCACGAAGGTCATGTAGACTTTATCCACATCGGGCCGCTCCTCCCGATCCACTTTTATGCAGACAAAGTTCTCGTTGAGAATCTGACCGATCTCCTTGTTCTTGAAGGACTCCTCCTCCATCACGTGGCACCAGTGGCAGGTGGAATAGCCAACTGAAAATACATACTGCCAATTAAAGAAAGGCTCCCAGCTGAACCGAGACACAAACGATGAGAGCTGTTAGACTGTGGGATATTGTCCCAAGGGGACTGATGGGGTCTCCACCAGGCTGGCCATCTACAGAGCAGACAGTAGGAAACAAGCCTACATCAGGGAATGGAGGCCAACTTGTTATTTGCATTGCTAACTCCTGTCTCAACGACTCTGGTAACCAAGACAGAGCCCAACTTTGACTGGAGTCCATTCAAAACTGCCTGATCACAGAGTCTTCAGGCACAAGGTCCTCAAGGCAATCTTCTCCCAGAAGTCAGAGTGCCCTTCAGGTACCAGCCTCAGACAAAGCAGTAGGGCTTACGGCATGATTTACACATGTACGCACAGGAAAGCGAAGTGCATTTGCCTCTCATTACCTGACAGAAAGATCAGTTTGTTTTCTTTTTTGGCTTTATCAAAGGCTTCCTGGCCCCACGGGTACCTAGGGAGAAAAGAAAGGGGGGAAAAAAAGGCTTAGGCCATTAGGGCATCACATGGGGTCAGGGCATGGTCTAGGACAAGCAGTCAAGCAGCTGTCACTAATCAAGACCTATTTAGTAGGGCCTTGCAAAATTTCGCCGAGTGTTTCATTTTGAAACTGTTTCGACGCGTTTTGAGCTCAAAACAGCAAAATCAAAATGAAACAAAAAGCTTTGAAACAAAACGGAGGTACTCAAAACATTTCAAAAGTTTCAAAATCTTCCGAGTTTTGAAGTATCCTGGTGGCAAGAGGCTGGGGAGAGCCCAGGCTGCGCTCTGAGCAGCTCCGCAGCCCCACAGAGCTCAGCCCGGTGCTGGGAGGCACAGCGCAGCCTTGGCTCTCCCCATCTCCCACTGCCAGGCTGAGCTCCATGGGGCTGCGGAGCTCCTTGGAGCACAGTCCCGGCTCTCCCCTGCCTCCTGCCACCCGGCCAGATGACAGGAGGCTGCCACTGCTGCCTGGGGCCAGCGGCAGCATCAGTCTTCCCTGGAGCACTAGTCCCAGGTGGCAGCGGCAGCCTTCTGTCATCCGGCGCAGATCTGGGGGCCCGCACCCCCGGGAGGAGACCAGCACAGCCCCGCAGCCCTCCCAGGGGTGCGGGCCCCAGATCTGTGCACCACATGACAGGAGGCTGCCACTGCTGCCTGCAACCAGTGGTAGCATCAGTCTTCCCTGGTACTGGGTGCGTGCTGTGCCCAGCGCCAGTCCCAGGTGGCAACAACAGCCTCCTGTCATCTGGCGCAGATCCGGGGGCCTGCACCCCCAGGAGTCCGGCACAGCCCCGCAGCTCTCCCGGGGGTGCGGGCCCCAGATCCGCGCCGGATGACAGGAGGCTGCCACTGCTGGCAAGCGTCACGAGTTTTGCTTTTTGACGTTTAAGATGCAGTTTCTGAGAAACCTCTGCACCTATCTCCTTGAAACTTGGCAGGTTTCATGCCCTCAGGTTTCATCCAAATCAGGCAAAAATGACAAAGTTTTAGGCATTTTCATGATTATAGCCTATGGGCGAAACGTCAAAATGCGCTGAAACAGTTTCGACGAAACGAAACAGGACAGTGCTTTGAAACGAAACAAAACAAAACACTGTCCCCTCAAAACGGCAAAACAGACGCCCAAACAAAACGATGTTTCGCACAGCCCTACTATTTAGAGGTCTGGGTGGCTGGTAGCACATGGTCACCACCTGAAGCCTCTGGTCAATAAGCACAGCAGACAAAAAGACATGGGAAATCTCTGTCCCGAGACAGGCAGAAACAGGGCAGGGTGGCCACTTGTAGACTAACTTGTTCAGAAATGCATGAGCTTTCCTAGGCAAACCTACTTCTTCAGATGCAATGAAAGGACTTGCAGAGCCCAGCGCTACCAGACAGAAAGCGCGAGACATTTAGCCTCTAACAGTTTTTCAGCTGTCACTGCTCAACACCCCACCCTCAACCATCCTACCCAGCTCCGCTGCAGGTAAAGCAAAAGGGACCGTTGTCTCTCACCAATCCACGGGGTTGTGAGCATGCTGAAGGAGGTAGGGAGACTTTTCGTTAATCAGACGGTTGGTATAACAAGGACTGCTGAGCCGGCCACCCTTCCCTCCACTGGCCATGGCTACGCCCCCTCTCAGGAACACAGTCCTGCAAGGAGAAACGCAGGTTAATTGATATCAATTCGCTTCATAGGTCCCAGGAGCAGAGTAAGAGGGCTGCAGACACCTGGAGTGGCGATGCACATGCTAGTACCCCATCAAGGCCCCGCTCTGGGATGGGGGCCCAGATGTGCCTGTTTCTGTAACGCTGCTGGCTCCTCTTGCTGCAAGACCCAAGCTCCAGTTGCCAACAGAGAAGCTGAGCTCTAGGTTACCACGGGGGCCTTGGTCTGGCTTAACACTGCCCGCACGTCTTGGGCATGAGACTCCTTGAAGAAAGGGCCACAACGGGCCACATTGTGATGCGGGAGCCGTGTCACAGCTCGGCTGGGGGCAGTCGACAGCCCGGCAGCAGGGCAGGACAGGCAATGCCCTTCCCACCGGTCCACCCAGCAAAATATGTCTTGCTCAATGGACGCAGGCCCCTGCCCCTCATAGCCCACAGCCCTGCACTAGCTCCGCTGCCCCTGAGCCCATGCCACAACCTCCCCTGAAATGCACCATCATTCGGGGCTCTTTTCCCACCCACCGCCCACCCGCCCCTGGGCCCGCATGCCCAGCACTGCCCATCTCTACAGCCGCAGCAGCAGGGCTTTAACACGCTCGTCCTCACAACAGACCCCGGGGGCTGTTGGAGGAACCGGCTCCCCTGTCACACACCTACCCCCGTCACATGGTGGGGAAACTAAGGCAGGGCTGAGCTAAGGGACTGCACTGAGGCCAGGCCGGACTCTCACCCTTGCTGACCCCGACATCCCCAACCAGCCCGGCAGCATTTGCACTCTCGAGACCACCTTCCCGCAGCGGGGTCGTATCCCACTCCCTCTAGGCCAAACTTTTCTCACCAGGACCCCCTGTCCTCAGCCCAACCCCTCACTCCCAAGCCACAGCCCCCCACGCGCAACCCCATCCGCTGATGCCGTGACCGCGTCCGGGGTCGCGCCCCACGGTTTGGGAACGGCAGCGCTAGGCCAACAGCTCTCAACTTGCTCAGCCGTGCCTGCACAAGGCCAGCGCTGAGCTTCCCTCGGCTCTGCCACCACCACAGACCCCCGGGGAAGTCTTCTAGCCCGAGAGACCCGGCGCCGGCCGGCCTCCAGCCCAGGAGGAGGAGGAGACAGGGAAGCCGGGAGGCAGGAGGGGAGCCGGGCCCCCCCAGTCCGGGGACCAGAGCAGGAGCAGGCCCGTCGCGCAGGGGCGGCCCAGCGCTGCCGGCTCCGGATCGCGGCTTGGCCTTGGCCGTACCTGCGGGGCGCGGGGCGCGGCGCGGCCGAGGGGGGCGGGGCGGGGCCAGGCACTGCTGGGGCGGGCGCGGGGCGGAGTCACTCCGGATCGGGGCGGGCATCGTTCTAAACCCGGAGTCACTCCGGCTCGGGGTCGCCAGGTCGGGTGATGTAGCTCTAGCCCTGGGATGACTCTAGATTGGGATGAGAGTCCCCCGATTGGCGTGGCTGTGGCTCTGGTCCTGGTGTGACTCCGGATCGGGGTCCCCAGGCTGGGCTGTCTATGGCTCTAAACCTGGGGTGACTCCGGATCAGGATTGGAGTCCCCCGATTGGCGTGACTGTGGCTCTGGTCCTGGTGTGACTCCGGATCGGGGTCCCCAGGCTGGGCTGGCCATGGCTTGACTCCGGATCAGATCAGAATCGGGGTCCCAGATTGGCGTGGCTGTGGCCCGGGAGTGACTCCGGATCAGGCCCCCTAGAATGGCACTTCCTAAGTAGCTGGTGGCACGCCAGCCCCTTAAGACCTTCGTGCGATCGCCTCTGGCCGGGCGCCAGGCCCAGGCGGCCCCTGCCAGGGAAGGGAGAAGCAAAGCTGGGGGCCGGGGCGATCTGTGGGTGCCGTTTGCATGGGTGAAAAAGGTGTTGCCTGGAGGATCCTGCTGGGGTAAGGCCAGCGCCTGGGCAGGCAAGCGCAGCCTCTGTCCCCAAGGAGCCACTCTGCCTCCTCCCGGGAGCCGTCCCATTGCCATCCAGGGGCACCCGCTCCTGTGAGCAAGGCATCGCAGCCCCAGGCGCTCCCTCAGGCAAGTGCATCAACCAGCCTTTAGCCTGCAGGCCTTCTCCGTTCCTAGTGTCGTGCCTTTGGCAATACAGGCAGCCTGGGCTCCTGAGAAACTCCCCCTCGGTGTCTGTTGGCATCTTCAGGCACTCCGGTCCCTTTGAAAAGCTGCTCTTCACTCCCTCGGATGTAGTTGTTAAATGGGGATCATGCTGCTGATTCCCCCCTGCCCTAAACTGCTTTGAAATCGTGGCACGAACAGCACTACATCGCAAGCAGAGAGTATTATCTCTTCGTCCTCGGGGGCCTGCAGAGCAGGAGACCGTCTCTGCGGGTAGTTAGCTACCCAGAGCAGGACTGCGAGGAACCAGCAGTGAACTTTGTGCCTGTGTTTGTCACAGCCTCCGCCATCCGAGGGATGCGTTTGCCCCTGGATGCTTATAATGGATGGCAACATGAATTATGCACGGGCATCCAGAGAGCAGACTCAGGCGTCTGCATGTCTTCTCTGGCTGCAGTAACTTGGTGTTTCAGCCACGGCAACAGACTATATTTTATTAATGAAAGCATCTAGTGCATGGGAGATGATGACAACACCCAGAGCACAGCCATGGCACAGAGCCCCCAGCAACCCACGTCGGGTCACACACCAGCTCTGCCCACCTAGTGCATGCAGGGTCAGGGGGCTCGCTTGTCAGAGCTCCTAGTACAACGGGACTCGATGGTCTTGTGCCTTTTCTTTTCCTTGGGCCTTGGTCTTTTCCAGGCTCGTTTCACAGTCACCTTAATATGCAATTAACTTCCCAGCATCGACCGGGTTGTGGGTATCCTTCACATCCAGCCCTTGGAGCGCACCAAAGAGAAGGACTCTACCGCATTAACCTCTACCTGTGTCTTGTTAGCTCTTGATCATCGATTTCCTATTTATGCAGCTGAAAGGAGACAAAGACACCTGATCAAGCAAAACGCTGTCCTTTTCCCGGCATTTATTAATGGAACAGTGGGAGGCAAAGCACATTTTTGCTGAGGGGGTTGATTCCTTGCTGCAGTGGGCTGGTTTTGATTTTGTGGTTGGTGTTTTTTTTCCCTTTGCTTGCTGTCTACGCATTTGTTTGCTGCAGGGCGTGAGGACAGTCTTAAATATTTGTTGTCGGGACAGGAGATGAGCACTGCTGCTTGGTGCTTGCCAGGTGAATTATCCTCTCCTGCACCCCTGAGTCAGCACCTTAGCAAGCTAATTTAATTCCCAAATATTTGGAGGCTGAAGATCACGAGGTGCCTGCTGGGCCCAGGGTGCAGGGAGCCTGACTAAAGCTCTTCTGCTGAATCCAGGAGAAGGGTATCTATTGTGTTCCCACTTGCCTCTAATAGGTGTATTTTTGAGGGGGTGGAGGGTGGAGAGCACTTGCAGGACGCACTTGTGCAGCTGGAAACATTCATCTAATGCTGGGGCTGGCACCCTCTGGCCGGTGGGCCAGATCCAGCTTGTGAAGCCAGTTTATCCAACCCGCAGAGTCGGTGGACTTTGATGTTTCAGTGGCAGGGGGCTTCAGCAATGTTCCAGTAGTGGCAGAGCGTGGCCCACCTTGCACCCGAGCTGTGTTGTCTCAGCTTCAGTTTGTTATATGGGTATCAACCACTGACCTCATGAAAGCGGATTTCAGGTCTGCAGAGGGAGGCTATGGGGAACTAGCCTCACTTCATTTTGGGGCTTAGCAGAATGATTACTGAAAGTTGGACTCTAAACCCGTGTCCCGCGGACGTCTCTGTTCAGGACAGCTTCCCTCTTGCTCCTCCGTCCGACTCGGGCCTGAGAGGAGAATCCTGGCTTCCTGCACTGCTTGCCGGGCTCTCACCACCCCCTCTTTTCCATCCCAGAGTGGGAGGCAGGGCTGACATGGAGGAACCTGCTCTGTTCTCTTCCACGACGCAGCCCCGTCCCAGCCCGCACGGGTTAGCCTGGAAGCTAGTCGCAAAATGGCATCAAGAGGGGATGACCTCTTCTCGCCATGCTAGCAATGCAGGAGCTGGCAAGGGAGCCTGCCTCCCTTCTGAAGCCTTCAGCATCAGGCACTATTAGAGATGAGGCAATGGCCTGGGTGGCACATTAGTTTGCCCCACATCTATTCTTCTCCCACCATTAGGTCAGATGAGAGACAGGGGAATTTGCAGTGCAGTGCGTGATGGCTGAAATGGAAGAAAGATCCTGAGAAGATGATGGAGGTTCCTCTCTCCACTTCTGAAGATCCTCAACAGCCATCTGTGCTCCTGAGAGACAGCACTGAAGGTGCGGCTCACAGGGGAGCAGGGCAAGGGCGTACAATCCCCAGTTGCACAGTCCACTCCAGGTTATATGCCTGTGTAGGTAGTATCTACACCCACTGGGGGCTGCTCCAACTGAGAGCAGCTCCATGTGCACTGTCCTGGAGCCCAGGATCCCTGTAGAAGAGGCTTCTGCTGGCCACCACCCCTGGCTATAAGGGAGGCCGGGTAGAGTCACTAAGAATTGACCCTGCAGTGTCCCAGCTGTTGCAACAGCCCTACAGCCTCTCCGTATGGCTAGAGCAATGTGCAAGGTTTGGAGTAACAACCAGAATAAGCCCCTTTGTGTTACTCCTGTTTGATTTAATACATTTAGTGAAACTCAGCTCCTGGAGGACTGGGAAAGTTCATGCTATGGGGAGGAGGACCACATGGGATCTCATGTTTTCCATCTAGCTGGCATTAAACAGCAGCTCATGACACTGAGTCTCTTGTGCCCCTCCAGCAAGCTGCCCAGAGAGGCCTTTCATGGCCAGTTTCCACAAGTACTTCCCAGCTGAATGCAGAGATGCCTGGGGAAGGGAAAATGGGTAGACCATCAGCAAGCCAAAGGCATCAGTTTTGTTTCTTATTCCATAGGAACAACTGAGCTGACGGGCCCATATCCCCCACGCAGACAAACCACAAACTATCTCCAAGAGATGCCGTGGGAATGGAGCCAGACAAGTACAAATGGCATCAATTCACCCCGAGAGAAGCCGGGACCGACATCTCCACTGCCTGATTCATGTGAAGAGGAACTGCAGGCCAGCAGCCAGAGGGATGCGCCTGGCCACGTGAGTGCAAGAGCCCTGCTCCATCAGAAACAATCCCCATCTGCCAGAGCTCGAGGCAGGGAGGCAGCAAGTTCCCAGCTCCTGCCTTTAAAGAAATAGGCCCCATTTCTTCCAGAAGCAGCAGCTTAGCCTGGCTGTTAAACTGGAAAGGGCTCAAATTCCTTCTCTGCTGTGTTACCCAAATGGCCTTCCAGCAGCCCTGGACATGAAAGGAAACTCCCAGAGCCCTGGAGGGCACTTATTCCTGTGCAACACCACTGCCAAAGCAAAGCAGTGGCTTCTTAAGCTCACTTCCCTGTAGTGGAAAAGGTGACCCAAGATGCAAGGCAAGGCTGGAGACACGGTAGCTATATGGCTTGGTAGAGAGGTGGGGTCCAGAGCCCACCACTGCTGGGAAGAGGCTGAGGGGCAGAAGACAGTGAAGGACATTGATATGGAAGCAAGGCCCCCTTAAAAGTTAGGAGGGAATGAAGGGTTAAGCCTAGAGCGATGTCCTTGGAAGGAAGAAGTTCCCACACCAAGAGCTGCTAGAATATTTTATTGTTTACAGTCAGTTCATGTTTTCCTACGGTCTGGGAGAGCCACCACTCTTGGGGGCAGTGGAGCTGGGGCTGCCGCTGCTGCTTTAGAGAAGTGTTTGAACATATGCACTAAAGTGATGCCAACTGTACAGCACAACTCCCTTCACCCCGCTCCCTCCCCTGCCATGTGACATCTCCCAAGCTACCACCTCCCTGATAGGCGCTGGCATGGAGGCTATATAGTCAGCACAGCTGGCACTTGGAGCTTAACCCAAGCAATCTCCTAGATTTGGGGGCTTCCTTGGGTTAATGACTGCCTGCAAATGCAGGGAAGGGGACTTCATGGCCCAGAAAGCCCTATCCAGTCCTGTATTCATCTCCCAGGCACATAATCCCAGCTCTCTGTGTGCATATCCCACACAGTACAGCAGTCCTGGCAGGAGAGCATCAAGTGGTCGAAACTGGGATCCAGCAGCTGGAGAAGCCATACAGGCCTGTCAGGGCTGTGCAAGCAGGGAGTTTCAAGGGAGAGGGTCAGGCTGAAAGGATATGCACCAAGGCTAGGGTGTGTATAGTGTACAGGGAGCATCTGCAAAAGGTCAGGAGCGGAGGTCAGTCCCCAGGAGAATAGCACAGGAGACAGCAGCAGAGGAGAGTGGTTCCCAGAACCAGCACCCAAGCCGAGTAAGTTAGGGGACAGCAGGCTTCCCAAGATTGGCACCCAAATACGGGGGTGAGGAGGCAGAGGAAGAGGGTCTCAAACCTTAGCATTCAAGTGGAAGCACATGTGGGTGGCCGCGGCCGGGGAAGAGAATTTCTGGGTGCGGTAACCAGAGAAGCACCCGGTGACTCTGGCAAAGGCAAGGGGCTCAGAGGATTTCTCTCCCTGTCCCTGGGAACATCCTGAACCGCGGTCACCCAGCCCCTACTCCACGCAAGCTTTGTGGCTGCAAGCCTCAACAGGGGATTGCACCTTCTGCGCGATTACACAAGGATTCCTCCTTGCCACTGGAGGACCCCAGGATGATCTCTAAGAGACCTGTGGAGACTGGGCATCTGTGAAAAGGCTTCACACTGGGCTGCGGACTCGCAGAAAGCACTGGAGCACGGAGGGCCCTGGATAATTGCAGCCCTTTCTTAGGGCCCTGCCATCAACTCGGTGCCCACCACAGCAAGGCCAGCTGATGACAAGAGCATCCTTGTTGCCGTCAGAGGCAGATCTAGTCATCTGTTGCCCACCATGCTGGAACGGGCTCGTCTCTAGCACTTCAAGCAAGGATATTCATGCTAACTGTCTGTCTGTGACCCAGGCAGGTGCTGGAATAGGAGTTGCAGATGAGAGGTTTCCTCCATCACAGCTAATGAGCCAGTGCCCTGAAGGCCTTTGCATGAGGAAACGCTGGGATTTCTGTATAAACAGCTGGGGAAGAGGCGAGAGAGACTACACGTAACACGGATCCAGAGGCTTCAGAGGAAAGGGTTCCTCCCTCCCTGTGAGGTGGGGAGAGAGGTAGAGCCAGTCAGTGGCAATAAAGGCTGGGGCAAGTTACTGGGTAGCTCTGGAAAAGGCCCTGCTCCGGCCTGCGGGAAGGCACTCATGGAGGCGGGGAGGGTCATTGCTGACGGGATGCTGCTGAGCGGAAGAGGAAGCGAAGCACTGTATGTCATGGCGTTCATGGTCATTCCCATGGCCACGCCTGGCACCGGGGAGCTGGTCCGCATCTGATTGAGCGTCGGCTTGGCCTGGTCACCGACGCTGAATGGGTTCGTGGGAGAAGGTGCACTGAGACCTGTCGGGAGAAAAAGTACAACATTGTCAGGGATGCAGCCTACTGGACAGGGGGATGGGAGTGAGGGCCAAGGTCAACATTGGCTGCTGGCCTCTCAGAACAGGTCTGTTGAATTCAGCTGCTAAACCTATAATTCCCTAACATTCAAGGTTGCATTTCCTCCCAGGGACTCTGACAGAAGGCTGCAACATTTAGCTTTAGGCATAACACGAGAGATGAAGCCAAAACCTGGGAAAAGTTTCAGATTGACCTTCAAGCTCCCTGGCCAGGGTCAGGTCTTGAATTTGGGTTTGTCTTTCCCTATGGAGCTAAGATCAAGGGAAATGCAGGGGCTGTGGGTATCACCCGTTCTCAGCACGTCATGGGAAGAACGCTCTCAAGGGCCTGCACACCACTCTTCTGCATCACCTCCTCAGGGTGGACCTCCCACCTTTCTCCATACGCCACCCACCACAACCCTCAGGACCTGTAGACCATCTCTCTCAGCAGTTTCCAGCATGGCTCTCCCTCCCCCGTCCTCCCCGCCCTCCCACTCCAAAGCCTACCTGACAAAAATGGGTTACGGGTCTTGGAGGTCTGGGGGGCCGTGACCAATGAGTCCAAATTGACCAGGGAGGAGGCGGCAGGGTCAAGGAAGGACTCGGGCGTTTTACAGTCTTTCCTGGAGTCAGCAAGGGAGTCTGCAAGGCTGGTGAGATCAAAACTCTTGGCTCCGTCCTGCTTGGTCATCAGAACTGGGTCACCAAAGGGGTCCAAGTCTAGAACAAGCACGTGAGACTTAATGGCATGATAGAGAAGGGACAGTGTGTTTCTAAAGAACTGCAGGCTGGAGCCCGGCCTGCTGTACGGGAGAGGGGCAGAGTTACGCAGAACAATGCAAACCCAGGAAGGGGAATGGGCCAGGGTCTGAGAAGCATTGCCCCCTCTCTGCGGATGTCTGCATGGAAAAATCACAGTGCAAGCACCAGTGCTTCCCTTCTGTCTGCAACAACCTTTGACACACGGTACCAGAAGCCAGGGGCAAAAGCAATGGTAGAGAGAGAAGCTGCCTTCTCTCTCTACCAGAGTCAGAACCGTGGCTTTCCCCACCTCACCCCAGACAGCTGTAGCTAATGGAAAGCTGCAGCTGGCTGAGACTGCCTTAGCCCACGTGCAAACCCTCCAGCTACACGTCGAACACGGGGCGGGGGTTACACTGCCATTGGCAAGTGTGACTGGAGTGCGTGTGTGGACACCAAGCTAGCTTTGATCTCACCAGCCAGGTTCCAGCCACGGTGAAGGTGGGACAACATGGACTTGGCTGCAGGGTAGCTACTTGAAATCCTGGGGGGTGGGGGTGGCCTAGAGTGAAGCCTGGGCCACCGTGTCTTCAGTCAGTACCTGAGCTGGCTAAATGAAAGCTAGCCCCACTGCTGAGCATAGACGGGCCGGCAGAGAGGTGAACTGCCAACTGCTGCCACAGCAGCACACTGTGCAGTCTGCAGGCAAACACCATGGCAGCCAAGCAAAAAATACAACACGATGCAAAACCTCTGGCTTATCACAGGCTGCCCTCTCTTGCAGAGGGTGGCAGATGAATTTCCCTGCTGTCCCATGCTGCCCTAAGCATACCTCTGCTCCAGCCCTCCATCTGCTGCCCTCTCTTACCCACAGGGCTGGTGGATCTGCGAGATGATGGGGCCTGTGAATTCTCTTGCTCTGGCTGCTCTGTTGGCTCCATTGGGTTTGCAAATAAGTCAAAAGCGTCACCACCTGAAGCTGAGAGGAAGAAGGAAGACGCAGGGGCTCAACAAGGGGAGTGAGAGGAAGGCAGGAGGTGGAGAAGGTACGGAGATCAGAGTAGGGGGGCGCCATCAGTTGGAAAAAGGGACAAAGAAAGAAGTGAGACAGGTTGAGAGGGGGAGTTGGGGATAAGGAGAACGCAGAACAGCAGAAGGAGAGAGAGAGAGAGAGAGAAATGAAATCAGTCGGCGAGACCTGACGATACCAGGACCTTCAGGGCTAAAGCAGACAGTGAATCAATGAGCCGTCACTGGAGGACATCAATGGCCAACACACCAGTGAGCAAGGCAGGGAGGCTCTGTACACCAGGACAGCACATGCCCTGCTCCCTCGCCTACCTGCTGCATCCCCCTGACTCTTAGTGCCTCAGGGGTGACAAGAAGGGGTGTTCAGACCCATTCCAGCTCTGTAGGGAGAAGCACACCCACACACTGCCGGAAACCACATAAGACCAGCAAAGTCCTCCATGCAGCCTGAACTACCGCCGTGTTACCCAAATCCCTCTAGGAAGAAAAGAATCACTTTTGCTATTACTTCAATTGTAAGCCCTTTGGAGGAGAAACCATCCTTTTGCTCTGTGTTTGTACAGCCCCTCCCACAGCGGGGTCCTGGTCCTCGCCTGAGGCTCACGGACAGGAAAGACATACAAATCATAAACAACCACAGTGTTTCCTAGTGCTTGGACCCTGATCTCCTTCATACTGCCCCATGTCCAGCATAACTCTGCTGGGCTGGAGATCCAGCCCTTTGCAAGCAGCTGATTTTAATTCAATGGCTGCAAATGTAGGCAGCTGTAATTAAGAGAAACCTGGATCCCAAAAGAGAGACAAGAGTTGCCGAGAGTTTTTAGGATGGCAGGAGGAGGCTTTGAACAAAACAGGCTTCTCTTACCGGCCTTGGGAGGGGTCTCAACAGCACTTCTCCAGGGGTCGGCAGCAGAGGGTGGGGGCGGGGATGCTTTCACCCAGGGGTCTGCAGAAGAGAAACTTGAAGACAGGGGCGTCTTCCCCCAAGGATCGGAGGAGGAGACAACAGGGGGCAGGTCCCAAGGCACTGCCAAGGCTTGGTTGGTAGATGCTGTCTGGCTTAGGGGATCGCTGGAAGCCACAGGGATGGGAGCCCAGGGGTCAGCAGGAGGGGCCCAAGAGGTTGATGCTGACTCCACATTTGACTTCAGATCTGAAAGACACATGGGAAGATGTAGGACTCTGGAACTGGCAGAGAGGAGGGAAAAGACTGACCCACAGTGGGCGGCACAAAGGGGAAAGGCTGAAGATGGGGGTGAAGGAGGAAACCACAGGAATGGGAAACTGGAGAAGAAAAGCACCAGGCAGACTGAAGGCACCAGGCAGGAAGAACATGAAAACAAGCAGGGGCTTATTTAACACTTGCCACCCTTCTGCCTTCAGTTCCTCTTTCCGCTTATAAGCTGCCGTGAGGATGGAGGGAGGGGAGGATAAAGGGCACGGGCAGGCGGGGAGAGAATGCAAGCAATGTTCTTACTGTTAGGATCCCAAGAGCTGGACAAGGACAGAGCTGGAGGAGGAGAGAAAGTGCCACCATTGTCCCAAGCAGTAGCAGACTGAGAGTTGTCCCCACCTGGAATATTCCACGGGTCAGCAGAAGCACGGGTTGAAGTGGCCGGCGCTGGGCCAAAAATGTCTGCCAGCTCCAAAATAGAGGACTAGAAATGCAAGGAGGAGAAAGGAAGGGGTTACGATGTGGGGAATCCAAAGAAGCTAGACACGATACCAGCCACAGAGCTCCTGGGGCTACAGAAGCTGGCCTGCTCTCACCACACTACCCCACGGGGCATCGGGCTCAGATGGACCTTTGTCATTTCTCAGCTAACCCCAGGCCTCACCCTGCACTTCCCACAGAGACGCAGCTCAAGCTGCATCGTTAGCAGGGAATGCCCTGCTCTAGCTCTTCTCTCAAGAGAGACGTCCTTTCAAAGAGAGTCCAGCTCTGGGTTGGGTGAATGCAGCGCTCATTAGAGAGGCGGAGTGACCTCGAGAAAAACTGCAGTCCTCTGCTTACGCCTGGAACAAATGCAGAAGAGCCCACGACAGTGCAGCCAGGCCTGACGGGCTGTTCAAGGAGCCAAAAGCTCCTTCTCTTTCCTTGTCCGGGCTGTCATGGAGATTCTTCTCTGCGGTGCAGGAGCTGCTCTGAAATCAGCAGATCACTTTGCACAGCCATCTAGATCACTTCTGATCACAACCGGTCTAGGCTCCATTTGAGCACATGCCCAAGAGAGGAAATGTTCTGCAGCCCATTATAGATTCCCCCAACCCCCAGCCCCTCGCTACCACTTTTTACCTGACTGGTTTTCAGCTTATCCTCTTCTTCCTCCTCCTCTACACCCGGCTGGGTCTCTTCCAGGGTCTTCTGTAGCAGCGAGTTCTCTCCTTGCCAGGCCCTCACTTCCTGCAGTCAAAATGGACACTGCATTATTCATTATGTCTGGGATGTAATGAGTAAAGACGAGAGAGAATCAGATATGTGCTGCCTAGCTGTAGAGAGACCGAGGGTAGGGGCCACCGTGTGCCAAAGTGTTAGCCAGCAGCTTTGTTTTCCACTGTGTTTGAGCATTTCAGGATAGATCCGCCATTAGGAATATTGACTGAGCAGGCTTAAGAGCTGTGAAGGTAAAGTCTACAGGCAGGCAGGTAGCAGAAGCGGAAGCGCTGGAATACATCACGTCCCCACAAAGACACCAAGCGAGGCAGAAAGTAGCGTGGTTGTTTCAGTGCTCCAAAGCCCCAGGTCAAACCTCATGAAGTGGAAATTCAAGAAGAGGTAAGTGCCCTTTGGGCAGCCGGGCGCAGGTACCTTCTCGTGCTCCACCTTGCTCAGGGTGAGCGCTATCTGCAACTGCATTTCTTCCTCTGTGGTGGAGGCTGGAGGAACTGGCTTCTGCCAATGAAGGAAATCTAAGTGAAATTCCTGCTCTGATCCCAGGTCTCTGCACCCATTGACAAATGAACCCCTTCATAGTTTCATAGTTTTAGGGTCGGAAGGGACCTAATAGATCTTCTAGCCCGACCCCCCGCCAGGGCGGGAGAACAACAAAAAATCCTTGGAACCAGCTTTCCTTCACAATCACCTGTCAGTTCAGACAGCAAGTCGTTTTTTTTATCTAAACATTTTTCCTCCTCTGTTGCTATCCATTCTTCCATCTAGCTAGTCATCCATCTTTCTTACTGCCTTATTCTTTCCTCCATCCATCATCCATGTGCTAATACCTTTCAAGCTTTTCACCGATCTTCCTTCAGGAGACTACCAATGTGTTTCTTCCTTCAATCCCTCCACCCACCAGCCAGCCATCCTCTCCTTTGCTCATCTGCTCAGCTGCCTCTCTAGCAATGTGCCCACTTTGCCACTGCTGAAACTTCTTGTCTGAAGAACAGACACCTTGAAACTACCCATCTGAGTCCTGGCATGGCTGGCTTAGCCCTTCCCTTTTCTGAGAGACAAATGTGCAGCTTATGAAGCAGTCTCTGGGTTGAGGCTCTAACACCAACACCCTTTTGTATTGCTTGAATATTCAAGGTTCATGCTCATCTTCTTGCCCTAGGTCAAAAGATTTATCTCCTTCCACCCTTATAACGAGGGGCTTGTAATTAAGTAGGTTGCTGCAGTCCACCTGGGAGGTGGCTTCCCTTCAATGATGGGGAATAGAGACCTCTCAAACTGAAAGTTGCTATTGCTTGAGGAAGATGTCGAGCATTCGTTATGACTGACATGCATGCACCTTGCCTCTGCAGGTGCATTTGGGGCTTACATCCCCTTTTGTGTTGTGCAGATGGTGGATGGTTTTTGTTTAGACATTTTACTGCCTGGCTTCTCAGGCCTTTGAGCTTCCCTGCTGGCCCACTGTGATACTTCTGCCCCTAGATGAGTTTATCAAGAGCACCCCTCCCCAAGGCTAAACGCTCTGCTTTTAACGTCAGCAGATGTCCCTGCTCCTTTATTCCAACGAGGATATCTCAAAGCAGGTTTTCCTATCCGTGCTGAAGGACAAAGCACAACAGATCCCTGCACTTTCTATCTGAGAGTCTCAGAGAGCTTTATAGGCATTACACAGTTAATCCTCATAATACCCTTGCGGTGATGGTATTATCCCCATTCTTCAAATGGTTGAACCGATAGATGAAGCACAGATCTCTTGATACGTAAGTGGCAGAGCAAGGAAGAGAACCCCAATCTCCTTATTTCCCACCATCGACTTTGCAAGGCCACCCACATTTTTCTCTCAAGTGCTGCTGAAAAATAAGCAGATTGCGCTTTGTGACCAACTCCATCCATCCTTCCATCTCTTCACTAAATGCTAAAACACCAGAGACTCCACGTTTGTCCAACAGGCCACACAGATAACCCCAGTGAAATGCTTCTACGCCTTCCATTTGACAAGGCTGAGATCTTGTCTTTGCTACCAAATTGGGATGCTCTCTATTATGGGTCAGCAGAGACAGAACCAGATTGTAGTTTAACCACATCCCCGTGTGCTGATGGCTTGGTCTGGTCTAGGACACAGTTTGGTCCCTTCTGTACTAGTACTAGTTAGGACTATGGTTGCCAGGGATAGAGATGGTCATGCTGAGACCCCAATGGCATCTTTTCCCAAGGCCTGATGGCAGTCAAAGATGACTATTTCTGTGAAGGCTTGGAGCCCAGATAGCTTCAAGTGGGGTTCTTGCTTGTTCCTCCAGCACTAGTCAGAGGATCTTCTCTGGCAAGGTTGAGAAGCTATAAATGGCTATATTCCCAGGACAAAATTGGGATGCGCTTTTTATAGACTCTCATACAGCTTTTGGGAAGGGAAGGGTGGGAAACAGAAGCTATTCCGATTGCTACTTAAATTGTAGCCATAATAGCAGACTCTGCAACTGCATGCCTTCCTACCAGTGAGACAAGTCTGGTGGCTCAAAGCCAACATGGCCCCAAGGACAATTTTGGGTCTGAAGGGGGTGGCTAGAAGGTGGAGTTTGAGAGACATTTCACTCAAAGTTTGGGTTAAATACAGAAGCCTCTGGGATAGAAATGCCCCACCTCTGAAAGTGTCACCCAAGGGGCATTTGGCTTTGTTCTCTACTTGTGTCACCAGTGTCCTTAGAGGTAGGAGTGCCAGTTGGAGCTAATCTCAGATTGCATGCGTGTAAACATACCATCTCCATTTGGAAAGGGAGAAGCAGATCGCCTGATAGGAGACTTGCAGAGGGGCGGGGGTGGGGAGGGAATGTACATAAATGACGCACTGTGGGCAGGGACTCTGGGACTGACCAACACAATCAATACAACAGAAAGATGAAGACAAATTAGGTCATTTGGTGCCCCCATCCTCCCCTCTGCTTGCCCTGGCCAACGCAGAATTGCTTTCTACAGTGTTTTCCAGAGCTTTGCATAGCATAGTTTTAAATAATCCACGGGGATTTGAACACAGTCAAGTAAAATAAAGACGGGGATCACATGCACACACCAGCACAACAGTAACCCAAGCGCAGTTGGTGTCGCAAAAGCACAGACAAGTTCTCTAGGACAGGAGCCATCCCTGTGCAGAGAACCCACTTTCCCCCGGGGCACAGCTTGTCCAGGGTATCTGCCAGAGAAACAGCAGAAACTTTCTGGGTACAGCCGCTCCAAACCTTAACACGTAAAGCAATCACAGCAGAGGAACTTGCTCGGGAAAGATAACAGGCAGCTCTGAAGTCCTTGGCAAGACCACCCTTTAGGTTTAATCAAGTCAGATTTCACCCAGTGGATATGAAGCGGGGGGATTACATAGGACCTGTTGGAGCCTGTTGTAAGTCCTGAACCTGTATCCTCTTACTTTCTTTGAAAGCACCTGATGACTTGGGGAAAACAACTATTTCAGGGCACCCACAGAGCAGAAAGGCTTTAGAGGGATGGCTTCTGTCTCGCCAAAAGCGTTTACTACTGATTTAAGAGGCACAGAATAGTGCATGCCACGGCACAAGGAGGTGGGCTCACTTGAGCGCACCATGTACAAACGGTGCATCGGCAGCACCGTCCATCCTCATCACGCCAAGACTTGCTGACTCACAGCATCTGTGGGGAGCAGCCAGGAAGAAAATGCTCCTGCACATGTTAATGCGGTGACTGATAGAGCTCAGGAATCTCTTGTGGGCCTGACCCACCCAACCCCAAAGGAGAGAGACAGCAAACACTACCTTTTCAGCTTCCTCTCGACTCATAGCCAGTGCAAGCTGTAACTGCAGCTCCTCCTCTCCAGTGGTCTGGGGTCTTGCCTGCTCCAGGTCGGAGGTGAATTGAGGGGATGAGGAAGAGGCTGAGATACCAAAGAGGAAGAGTTCAGATGGAAGAACCAGGAGGAAAGCCTGAGTCCCCAGAGTTGGGATATTTCTAGGCGTGAATCAGCAATGACCAGCCCTCCTCCCCCTCCGCAGTGGACTTCTCCCTCTCCCAACGTTACCACCACCCAGCTCAGGCTAAAGGCTATTGAGGCTGAAAAACTGCTTGGGAAGCTGCTGGTCTCATCGGTGATGTTGTAGAGGACACAGAGAAGGAGTCTGCCTTTAAAGAGCGGGAGCTTGAGGCCTGTCCATCTGAGGAGAAGGGCATGGGGTCTGGGCTCAGGATACAGGTGGGATAATTATTACTCGGTGCATCAGGTGCAGACCGTGCATTGCGACAAGACACCAAACATCATGGTAAAGGCCTTCAAGTAGTGGCAATGAGGCAGGCAGCTATGCCTACAAGACAGGTGGGAGCGAGGCAGGGCTGTACTGGGGGCTAACGTCCCCAGAAAGGTGGAAAAGCATCCTCTATATAAAGATATATAAGGCAGGTCATTGGAGGTGACCTCTGATGATCCCTGGAAACACAGTGGCTTTCACAGAGGTCACAGGGCAAAATTGAAGCAGGGTGGAGTCACAGCCTTAGTTGTTATCCTCAAAGTGCCACCTACATTACACCAGCTCCACGTGATAATGGCACTGAGGGCAAACCCTACCTGATGGCATTAAAACAGACAGGAAACCATATTCAATTCATCATCAGACCAATGGAAATGTGGCTAAGAGGGAACCATAACATATGTGAGCCACTGGCCTAAGACAGCCATGTTCTGCGCCAGGGAGGGGTCTCAAGAGATACAAAGGTGACCCCCAGTCACTTTCTTTTGAACCTCAGACCCCAAAGCCCTGTGGTCAGAAGCACCCATGCCCTCCATACCAGAAGAGGAAATGCCCGCTTATGCTCCGCACCACTGCAGTACTTACAGTTAAAGGATGATGGAGACCCCCTGGACCTCCCGTAGTCCTCTCCGTACTGGGATGTCCGCCGGCCATAGGAGAGCTGGTGGCTGCTGCTGCTGCTGATGCCCATGCCTTCGACAGACATGCGCTCTTTGGTTTTCAGGGCATGAGCCCGTTCCTGCTTCAGCCTCTCCTCGTCCTTCAGCAGAGCCATGACCTGTTTGACTTTCTCCCGGACATTTATGCCCTGGTCTTTGCCGTCCCGGTCTATGTACTGGAAGTCTTTTAGAGTCTGAATGGTAAAGAGGTTCTCCCGGCATTGATGGGCCACCTTCTCTGATCCAGTTTTGATGAGGTAGTCCAGAAGGGTCAACGCTTTGTACACATGGCGCCAGTTCTTGCCACTATCATTCAGCCGTCTCCAGATCATGCCCATGACCTCGGCAAAAGCCACGGTGTTGAAGGTCAGGTCGGCAATCTCAGACATCAGGGAGCTGGGTGGGCCCCAGGGATCATTGGAGGTCGCCTCACGCACCTTGATTTCTGCCTCCGAATAATTGTGCACAATGTTTTTGACCTGCCGACGCAAGGCGGAGGTAGTCATGGCTGAATCCTGGGGGAAGTCCACAGCTCACAGTAAGAAAGGAAAGACTGGGGAATACACAGCTGGGCTCCCAACCAGAGTCACAATGCCAGCTTCACCAGCGGAGGGGCTCTTGTTCCATAGGTTTTACATTGATCTGGAAGAAAGAGGTAGACACCAAATGTTACATGCAACCTGCAATGATCAAAAGATGCCCAAGTGCCACTTCCAAACCACACCTGTTGTTCTCTGGCTGCATCTTTAAGACGTATGTATCATCAAGACCCATTAAACACAATTTGAAAGGTGACACTCCCCTGTTACTCTGCTCCTTCCCAAACCTGAAAGGAAAAATATTATAGAAAAATTCAAGCTCAAACTTCCCCTTCTCTCTGGTTTGAAGTTGGAACCAGATCCCAGGAAGAGCCTGAAATACCACAGGGGAGTCAATCCTCGTGGTATTTCCTGCCAGCAACAAAGATTGCCACATTTCTAACTCTGTTCCACAAGCATGGAAAAGCATCCCAACCCCCTGGAGGGCTTGACCCCCTTTTTCTGTGCGGGGTGGGGTGGGGTGGGAGGGCGGGAAAGCCTCATGAGAGAGCATGTAGGATATGGCAAGCCATCCTCCCCTCAAGCTCATGCATTTCATAGCCCCCTTATCCTCTACAGCAGAGGTTCCCAAACTTTTTCTTATTGTGTACCCCCTTCCAGATTTACCAGCTTGGCCGCATACCCCTACCAGCATACCTTTTATATTTTAACCCCTTAAATGCCAGTTATTATAATGAAAATTGAATTTGCCATTACACAATTTCACCTGTGTACCCCCTAGAGATGTCTTGCATACCCCCAGGGGTGCACGTACCAACGTTTGGGAACCCCTGCTCTACAGCATAGGAGGATCTGGCACTCACATGTGGCTGTGAAATAGGTTTGGTGCCTTTAGCCCAGGTATGGACTAGGCCCTGGCCACTGAGTTCCTCTCCATCTCCCCAGGGGCAGCAGAGGTGGGGGCTTTCTGGTACAGGCTGCCTGAGCCTCTCCTATTTACCCTGTGGCCGTAATACCCAGCACATTACATTGCCAAAGCCCTTTACAAACATTAACTAAATTAATCCACAGCAAGCCCCTGCAAGGCAGGGAAGCATTGTTAGGCGCATGTTACAGGATGGAGAACCGAGACACAGGGGTGAAGTGACGCACGGAGAGCTGGCACTGCAGAGCCAAGACTCGCACGCGCTTGCTTCTGCTGCCTGGGCTCCATCCAACCGACCATATAGTCTCACGCTGTCACTGGGACTATCTGGTAGGTAACCAGAAGGGCCTGGTTTCTTGAGCTGTCAGCCCAGCACCTTTCAAAGGCACTCAGCTCACTAAAGAAATATGCAATGCCTGTGTTATATTGCTGCCAGTATCCCTACTGGGGTCAGGGGCAGGGTGGGGGAGAATTCATTTGATACAAAGCAGAGGTAAATACATTTAAAACCAACAAAAGAAAGTTATTTTTCCCACCGCATGTGGAACCCACTGCCAGGTTAACCAGATTCAAAAAGGGATTGGACACGTTCTTGGAGGAAAGGGGCATCAGTAGCTATAAAAAAATAAAATAAAAGGAAGTTGGGGGAACAGCCTGCAAACTTCCTAGACCTGGGGTCAGCAATGTTTTTGGGCAGTGTGACAAAAACACCCACAACCTTGACTTGTAAGATGCTGGCGTGCCAGGGGCAGGTGGCAGGGGAGCTGCGAGGGGCCCAATCCTTATTGTGGCAGCACAGCCCCTGCCCCTTCCCTGCCATCTGCCCTGAGGCGCGTGCACCAAGCAAAATGCCTTTGCATGCCATGCTCTGGCACCCATGCCAGGGGTTGCCTACATCTGTCCTAGACTTTAAATGCTGGAGGCTGGAAGTGGGAGAGGAACAGGGGGGAAAACCCTGGTCATATCCTGTTCGTTCTCTCTTTCAGCATCTGCTCTCTGTCCCTGTGTGATGCAGGAGACTGGGCAAGATGGATCTATGGGCTGACCCAGTAAATGGCAGTCCTTCCGTTCTTATGAGGCAGGGTGGGTTGCCAAAAGTTAAGAACGTCTTGCTTCAAAACTTCTTGCACAAGGATAAACTATCACATACACACACCATCCGTGGCGGGCAGAGTGCAGCTAAATTGTCCTGCAGGATCCCACAGATACGGCTTGCCCAAGTAGAGAGAAACCTTCATCCCTGTCACAGGGGCAGTAAAATCCCTATGGCGAACCAGATCACGCTGTGACAAGCCACCATGTGCCAAAGGCTCCCCCTGCCCCATACTCACGGACGTTGCAAACAAAAGACCCGGCGTGCTAGAAACCAGCTTCCAAATCTGCACTGGTGATAGGAAGAGCG